AGATCGAATAAGGGAGAGTTGACTGTATACAAATATTACATAAGTTTCACAACATTATTATAAAATGCTATAGCTCTGACAATTCGCTCTTTTAGTCATTTTCATATGAATATGAACTTACATCTGCACCATCATTCACTGCCTCGTGAGAGTCTGAATGATTGAGAAGTAAACGAGTCACTGACAGCCGAGCACTCAGTCTGAGCTACTGACTCAGCACGTTTATTCTGACGTCAACTTCCACAAAACATACATATTTGAAATTGCTACTCTCTGTTTGTAGTAGCACAGCAAACAAGGAGTAGCAATTTCAAAATTGTATGTTTTGTGGAAGCTGACATTTGTGCCTTTAAAGTTTCACGCTAAGACTTCCTTAGAGTATCACCAACACAAATTTTGTGTTGTTTCATTTGGCTGTTTTCTCTTTCGCTTCGTTCAGAAAAATAATCAGGCCTTCCTGATTTTGTAAGTGTAGTCCTTTACTAATTTGCCAGGGGTATGCTGTGGTTGTCAAATCCAATATACTTATATAAGGCGTCTACCTCACATTGATTTTGGTACTTTGCTTTTTGGTACCCCCTCTAGTTCGTTTACCTCAAAACTATAGATACTATAGATTCCATAGATAAGCGGAGACAAAGTATAATGTAGCCAAACGAACTGTCAGTTAGTGTAGCCCAACCAGCATGACGTCATCATGGTGTTGTTTGAGGGTGAAGTATTGTAATATTATGAGCAAAAAACGCTTTCCACACTCCACATTTCGATTTATTTCGTGGACAACGGAAGAAGGAAAGATAAAGTAAACTATTCCTCGATTCATTGTTGTAAAGATTTGCTTTGCACTTCATTTTGAACTTTTACGCACGAAACAAAATAAAACTGCACAACGAAGAGTTCTATAATGGCATGAACTTTTTTTCACGGATGCCAGTAAGATCATTTATTTTTCATGGTTGCCAAAACAATTTTTTGTGCCTCCGCTTATCTATGGAATCTATAGTATCTATACTCAAAACTGGTGCAATGGGGCAAAGAGCTCGTTGACATGACTGTTTTAAAAATAATGTTTTTCGACAGTCAAATCGCTGCTAAGTTTCAGCTAGGACGTGACCTGGATATGTTTGGCATTGCTCCGTACAATAAAGCAGAGCTGAGAAAAACACTGCAAAAGTCCAGCTTTTTTGTTGTAGGATTTAGCGAACCCCTAAAAAAAACAAAAGGATTTGAATGCCCGACTCTGGGATAATTCGAAAAACGAGGTGGCAACTCGTTACAAGACGTCAAAGTTTTTGGAAAGATCCCAGGCATCAGATCTACTCGCTGCGTTTATCGAAGCCCTTGCCGGTAACCCTTCGAACAAGTTGCCGCAAGTTTCCATGGATGGGCCCAATGTGAATTGAAGTACAAAAAGGTGGTGAGAAGCTGATAGATCTGGGAAGCTGTGGGCTGCATATTTTGCAAAATGCATTCAAGGATCTTGTTCGCAGTACCAGTTGGGATGTTGTCAAATATTTGCGAGGTATCTACAATATCTTCAAAGATGTACCAGCAAGACGAGCGTTTTTCACAATGTATTCCGGATCTACCATATTCCCGTTAAAGTTTTGCGGCCACCGATGGCTGAATAATAGAGGTGCTGTTCAGAGGGCAATCGAAATTATTCCGCAAATACGAAAATTTATTCAAGGCGTCCAGAAAGACAAAATCGAACCAACGTCGGCTTCCTACCAAGATGTTAAAAACTGTTTGAATGACTTGCTGCTGATGGCTAATAGTAAGTTCAAACTACAGGGTTATAACAGTTATAACATGTTATATCACTATCTTGATGGTGGTTTCTGTGTTGCAATTATTTGACAACCGTTATAACATGTTATAACTCTCCAGTCTGGACAGCGTTTGAACGTGGTATTAAGCTGGCTTTCATGAAATCAGTTGCTGTCGAAGTTGAGCCATTTCTATGCGAATTTCAGACGGACAACCCTGTGGTGCCTTTTTTGTACAACGCGATGTCTCAAATGGTTAGAGGCATTATGGAAAGGTTCATTAATATTGATCATCTGAACAATATTGCACAGGTAAATGGCACAGGTTATTGGTCGGCGTATTCAGAACTATTGTTGGTTTTTGAAAATGATTTGCTGCTTATCGCATGGCAACGCCTATGCAGAGAGAGGTTTTTTTTAGTAAATGCAGAATGTCTTTTTGAAAACATGAGGGAAGAGTCAGTCGTAGCGTGACGTCAGATCTATGATGGTGTTACTCATGCAGGATCGTCGTATGAAAGAAGCTCTCGATTCCGACAAAGTGAAGTTGTTGAAACGCCAGAGAGAAGCAGAAGCGAAACATCTCGAGAATAAGTGAAGAAAGTAATTGGAAAATGCTCAAAAAGAAGCCGAGAGTTTGCAGGAGAAAATTGTTCTGCTCAAATCATAAACATTTTTTATAGTAATCTGAACATAAACACAAATTCAACTTGTAATTTCACGTTGTAATGTGAACTCATTGAAAGAATAAAATGTTAATGATAATTAAACTTAAATTATTTTGCCATGTCTGCGGTTGTCATATGAAGGTCCAGAGAGTACGAAAACTCGAGTCAAAGCAAGAATAACCACTGCTCTGTTATTTTACAATAATTTATATGTAAAGAGCAGTGTTCGGAAAAACTCAAAACTCATGCATGAGTTTTTGCACCTATGAGTTTTGCCTTGCAAAATTTATCATTGCAAAAATCACCGAAGAGTTTTCAGGTTCAAAAATTAATTAATTTATATTTTGGCGTTATTTATTGCTATTACTATTGTTTGTGCATCAGGGTTTGGAAATCTAAAAAAAACATGCATAACCATGGTATCAATTAACGTTTGCATGGTTTTTATGAGTTTAAAGTTGGAATGATTTTTCGACGTTGTGAGTGTGATTGCGTGAATATTCATGAGAATCTCAAGCGTGAATTTTGTTTACCACATTCGCACGCGAATTTATTCTCGCAAGGACACTCAATGAATGAGATTTAAGAATGATCTTCCGAACACTGGTAAAGATAAAGGTCTACGGGTTGATTTTTATTTGGTTGTGAAATTATGAACACAAATTGAGAGCTTGGTGACATTGATTAAATATTCCTATTATTATTTAGTAATAAATAGTGAGCCTAGTTGTGAGCAGTAGTTATTCATTATTACATTATAATACATATGTATTTATAACCCTAGGCCTATTCACACTCTTCGTAGGTAGTCGGTCATATGTTCTGTATAAATTGTATTAGTATCAAGTTCTGTTGTGTGTGCTATGAGTATGCTATTCTTGATATTTTCGAAAACTCTGCTGCTCATTTTATACTAACCATAATTTGCACTACGGTATAATAAAGCACATCACGTTGTAGCTTCTTAGGTTAAAATATCGGAGTTTTGTGGACTGGAATTTTTTTGAAAACCCACTGGAAAATCAGGGAAAGTCAGGGATTTTTTTTTCGACTTTGAGTCGACACCCTGGTTTTTGTTGGCTTTTTCATTGCATCGTCCTTTACCGCTTTGTACAAATGGTCTGGACAGAGCAATGAATTGAATAGTGCAGTGATTTCACATTCAGCCTAAGCAGTTAATAATTTTGCGCTCTGATCGTTATGTTGAATCTCGATTTAATAAAACTTTAAAACTATAAAATCTATATCTTGAAAACCAAGCTTGCTGTTATTTTGACGTCTTCGTAAGAGTTTTATAATGTTTGAATACTAAAAAACTTTGTGCAAGACACCAACTGTCCAAAATGAAGTAGTAAAAATATACATTTTCAATAGCAGTTTAGTAAAAAATTTTAACATTTATTTTTCATTTCAAAAGATAGCGCCATTCATTAAAAAAACATTACCGAAGAAATAAAATCACTCAAATAGCTCATTTTGAAGATATTAATTTTGTTCTAGATTGCATTCCTGGACCACTTTGCGTTGTCAATAACATGGCATTCTTTGAAGATCATTTTTATTTCGTGATAGTACGATCGAGATTTTTCAGCTCACTGTCACTTGCTATAGGACTCCAAGTTAATTTTAGAAACCTGATTTTCAGGGTTCACCCCAAGCTACTTATTAAAACCAGTATAAAGGTGCACCCGTTAGAAATAGAAAATTAATAGATCTACAACTCTGTCAAAAATTGTGTGACTATACCGATCCAGTTGTTATCTTAGTCTTTCTCCTATAGGAATTGAGAAAAACCACTAATGTTCACACTAATGTTGATAGGGTTGACTCAAGTCAGAAACAGGTCCTGAAGTTCTGGTTACTGAATATGACCACTATGGATCTTTTTTTGAAATTCTCATGTGATTTGAGGTGACGCATTAAGGGTTTTTTCTCAAATTCAGAAATTGGCGACTTCCCTGGGGCACCTGGAACGTATCCGGATGTGACCAACGAGGCTCTGGACAATATGACCACCATTGATCACGTTTTTGTGTCCTCCTGTGATTTGAGGTCTCGCATGGTGGGTTAAATCTTTTTTTGCTTTCCTATCCATAAGGGACTGTTATGCGATTATGCGTACATTACACCTCCATTAAAATGATTGATTGCACTAATCATCTACCACCCGTTGCGTTCACATGCCAGAATAATGTTTTTTTTTATCTTCGCTGAGCAAGACTTTAATCGAAGACATAATATCAAGAAGACTGGCAACCTTGCCTGGATCCGAGCGACAGACACAGTAGCGCTGTGCTCGAGCGAAGGTGGAAGCAACGCATAGAAAAATGAGCAAACGCACAAACCTTTCTTCTGAGGATGGAACCTTTGCTATCAAATTCGTTCGGAGCATTTACCTTTGTACGGCAGATGACGCGATTGTGCCTGTCTCATGCCGGTCGTTTGAGAAAATGGAAGAGTTACCAGTCTTCTGGATATGTTGTGTTCGCTTTAATGCTGTTTAAAAAAAAAACATGTAAATCTAGTGCAATAATAAAACACCATTTCTTTCTCGTCCTTCCAGATGCTCTAACATCGAAGCACCACGAACCATCCAACGAAGCAACGAAATATCAGAGCATAGATTTTCACTCACCTTTTCTCTCAACCAACCATAATATTGCCCATACATGTCACCAGCGAGCACCTCCAATCGCCACCACCGGTAATCTCGAGCGCGTCTTGGAACCTTGAGATTCTCATAAGTACTATCTTCGCTTCGCTGCGTTCCCACCTTATTAGAGGCAGAGCAGAGAGCCCTTCGACATCGTCGTCACTATCATCATCAGCACACACCAACACACACACACAACACACACTACACACGTCGCCAAGATTGCCACCCCATCGGCAGCGGCGGCGGCGGCGACGGCCACAGTTGTCGTTTCGGGCCCAATCAAGATGCGACTGAAAAGTGCGCGAAAAAGCTTCAGCCGACACAAATGCAAGCATGGACTGGAGTTCCCCCAGCCGAGGTAAGCGAGTGAATTCAATACAAGTTAGGAAGACGACGACGACGACGACTACGTCCACTTGGTTCATCCGATTCTGGTTCATGGGATTGCGAGGGACTGAGTCAGATTAGGGGAGCATCACTCGTCTCTCCTGGCCGAAACTGCAACTTATCCATCTTTATGGCTTCATCAGGGTTAAACAACGTCTCCCATCAAATCACGATCTCCACCGCATCTATTTTAATTGCTATTGTTTTGTCACTGTTATAATTGAGGAACCTTGCGGCCAGCAGCGCAACCGGCAGGGAAGTCCGAGTTTTGATGGGAACCAAAATTGAATGCCATCCATTTCGGCGATAAGCGAGCGATAAAAACTGCAATCAAATTGACCGTTGCGATACGGTATTGGTCGTTTCCGACGACACCGAAGTGCGTCTCCATCGCGACACAGGGTGCCGAACAATAATGATAATGATAATGTAGCGTATACCGTGTTTACCACCAGTTTGTTTAAGTATTATGGGAGAATGTGAGGAAGTGGCAGCGCCCGTTTGTTGTGTGATAATTAATATATTTCTATTCCGTTTCGGACGGTGGCGCCGCCGTCGAGCTGTCTAGGGTCGGTTCATACGCCTTGGGTGGTTGATCATTAGGAGTTTGTTGACTCATCCGATTGTCTATTTGGAATGCAGCTGGATAGAATTCAAATGTGTGTAGGGAAAATACCGGACTTGTTAAATTAATGTTAATCATAGGTGCTAATCACGCCAGCAAATAAGTTCGAGAAATTTAAAAATAGAATAACTCAATTATACCTAATCATCGCGAAACATTGATGAATACGAAAAATGATAGCAGTCCGGATAAAAATAACAATAAAATTACAATAAAATATCAATAAAATAAAATAGATTCTTTTGTTGACAATTAATCTTATTGTTATTCTATTGTATTGGTAAAATAATCAAATAGTCACCACAATAGGTTTACAACAAATTCTATGAAATCCAACTTTTGCACAGTAAAAAAACATTTAAATTTATTGTAATGAGATCGAATTTGTTCGAGAAAAATTTGATTTTTTTTATGGTTACGATAACTATTAACCCCCCTTTTCTATTGTAAATGTCTCATTAACAATATATTAGATTGTACATAACAATAAGTTCTATTATATTTTTATTGTTTTGACAATAACATTTATTGTTGCTACAATAGGTTTTATTGCAGTGTAACAATAGGTTCTATTGTTTTTGTATGGTAAATTTTTCAAAAATTTCCTATCCCGAGGACGTCGCTGTAGAAGAAGACCCAAGGACGCATAGCAGCTAAGTATCAATTATGAAATGAAAGCTAATGACACAAAATCAGACCTGGTTCCAGGTCTAGGCGAAATCAGATACAAAGTCAAAGAGTGCACCCAAAATTAGCTATATGCTCCGGGTCATTCTTGTGAACTGGAGGGTTATACCCAAATCTTCTGAGTTCTCTATTCCATGGAAGGGAAGACACTATTCAGCATTCATGAATCGAAGATCCTGATTTTTCCAGGATGTCTGGTTTGCCTCTATAGATATTAAGATTTGTTCAATGGGACATATGATCTCAAGACTCTTGTTTCTTAAGTCTTCCGAGCTTACCTATGGACATTAGGGTGGGTCAACTTTACAACCCCTTGTTCCCCACTGTTCTTTCAATGTGTTGAGGTCCCTAACAACTGTGCAAAATTTCAAAGAATTTTAAATTTTGTTCGGGAAAATGTATGGGAAATGAAACGATCCTAATCATTTGTTTACCAAAAATCCAAATATTGCTCAAATACCACCAAATCTCGGACTTAGATTGAGAATACTATACAAAACAACTTTGTCTAAGACAGCAAATCGATTTGGTATTTGTACAAAAAGTTACTAATCTTTCACTTTAGACCAAGTGATCCACACGGACCTACAAGCTCATGCATACGCCTGTAGGTATGTGTGGAGCAATAGGTCAAAATTAATTTTTTTTTGTAAACTAATTTATTTGTATAGGTTCAATCGAATAAACTTTACAGAGCCAAACTATAATTTGCGTTATATATTATTGTCTTAAATCTAAAGTTAAACTCTAAAGTTAAAGGAATTGAACCGAGTACTCGCGGTCGTCTCGAGGTTAGTGGAGATTTACAGTTTCATGGATGGGGAGAGGGAGCGTGTAAGCGTGATTACCTCTCACCCCAGCAGGCCTGGGTTCAATCCTGTTTTGAGGCATAACATCTCTGATTACGCCTTCCTTGGGAAGGGAAGTAAAGCCGTTGGTCCCCGGTTCATGAGAGAGAAAAGGATTGGTAAATTCTATTTAACTCCACTACCTTATTTGCTTATCCTTGACAGATACGCGTATTTCTACTACAATGTGCAGACTTCTTCAGTGCCTTGTACTACTCGACTTATGTAAAAAGTTCCTTAAAATAAGCCTTAGACAACATAGGGACTGAAGCGGTTAAGGGCTATTTAGACTATTCTAAAGCAATTTTGGTATTTTAAAATTATGCAGGTTCTCCAAATCATCCTGGAGTTTACCTCAATAGATCTACCGGATCAACAAAGACTGGAGCAGTATGTGTAAATAATCTTCTTCTATAGCTTATTACTTCACCACTGGGACTTAACACCGATTCTCAACTTAGTGTTTCTTCCACAGCACTGCCCCCAAGTAACCAACAAATCCGTTAATTTTCCTTTTTGCGATAGGGGAAACAGTCCTATTGTTGCGAACGTTAAAAGCGTTAGGAGCCAATTGATGTGTATGAAGACCGCCATACACACCAATAGGCTTTTAACGCTTCTAACGTACCGCAACAATAGGACTGTTTCCCCTATATTAATATCGTCTACGTATTCTCGTTCGAATCGTATTCACAGATCATAGATCAATTCTAGGTTTTAAACAGATTATTAGATAGAAAATTACTTTGACTATATGTTTTTAGAATTACTTCTACGTGAAGTCAACTATTTACATAGTTGAAGATGCTTATTTCAAATAACAGACTGTAGTGGTAATTTTTATACGATAGATGGAGTAGATGAAAGCATAGAGTTGATAGTTCCGTTAGAGTACAGTTGATAGTTCCGTTAAAAGGCATCCAGTCGTAAGTTTGGAAATTGCAACTATTGTTTACCCCTACCACGATATGTGCTCCTGTCATCGTTGACTTGACGATCTCAGTAAAGGCACGGTATTACCAACAATCAATACGAAACTAACGATTTTAAATTGGCTCACCACTTTAGTAGCCTATTGGTCCCAAGCAAACGATTAACGTACCCTATTCTAGTCGAAATTCTATTACTACACTATGTTTGTTTTGATTCGCTATGAAAGTTTGACAGATAACATCAGGGGTGTGTGGATTCATGCAGAACATGCAGGGGTGAGTGAAATAGCTTGGGACTGCTTGGGACCGTTGTTCTGGTACTGAGTGAGCCAAAAATAATAATGATTTTCTTCGGGACCCAGTGGTCTTAGAGTTACCTCTATGGTATTACCAAGGTGGAGGCGGCGGGTTTGATTCCCGGTCCGGTCGAGGGAATCTTTTCGGGTTGGAAATTTTCTCGACTTCCCTGGGCATAGAGTATCATTGTGCTTTGCCACACAATATAAAAATTCATGCATTGGTATTCGCATCGAAAGCTCTCAATTAATAACTGTGGAAGTGCATTTAGAACACTAAGTTGAGAGCACGCAATAAGCTAATATGCGCTAAGCAGTAAGCTTGAAATGCGAACAAGAAGAAGAAGAAGTGTTTACTTATAGAAGTATATATTTTATTTGAAAAAGCTCATTGTTCGACATTTTGGACGTAGACCCCTTGCACCACATCTAAATGTTAACGAAAAAAGCTCAATTTTTTATATGTTACTTAATTAGGGTTAACTACCCCATTTCCGGCCTATTAAGCTCCACCCACACTTAGTCTTTCTTAATCTAGCGCAGTTTAGCACCAAACGGAATGTTATTATCACTGATGGCTTCCAAATTTATTTACCTTTCCGTTCGTACCGTAAGATTTGATAAAGAGAAACCAATCGTTGAGATATTGTCAAAAGTCTAACACTGCTTCTTGACGCCAAACTCGGCCTACGGATTCTAAACTCGGTCTACCGCATTGAAACGTCATTGAAACGCCATTGAAACGCACTTCGGCCTATCGGATGAAAATAAAAATTGGTTCGATCGGAGCGCTTCTTTTGTTTTTGGGTATTATGGGTACAAACTTTCATATCACGCGTTCTCATTGACTTCGTTCGGTCACTTATTAACTAAAGTATCGTACCAAAGGCATAATTGACTTGTTAACTCTGAAATCATGGATTTATTTGATGTTTTCTGATCGATAGGCCCAAAATGGGGGATTAGGCCGAAGTAGTTCTCTACCCTATTTAGTAGATTTCATCTAGTAAGACATTGATGAAAGAATTTTGAAAATTGGTTGCGAAACCACCGAGATCCATCTGGTTTAACATTTAGGTCCCAGTGGTTCTTGAACCTGGTATTCCGCGGGATTTTTTTTCTCCCCGCATTTCTAGTGTTAAACAGCAGTTTAAAAATGGATTAACCTTTAACTACTTTCGCTGATAGCTTTTTGCGATAGCATGCAAATTAGAGCTTTTATAGCCATTTCCAACTCCTTTAGCGTGGTCTATCCACAGCACTACCAAACTGAAATGATTAACGACCGAACATTTACCAGCAACCTCTGCTTTCCGTGGTTCTTCGGTTATCTATGAGGCTATATGTATGCCTCGGTAGACACGGTAACGCGCGAAACAGGATGTCTTCATTAAGTATTCATGCTTCACTTTCTCGCAATGACCAGATACGAGATAAACCATAAACGACGCAGGTACGAAATCACATGGTTCCGTCAATTTAGCAAATTTACAGGAACGATGTCACAGCGTATAAAAATAGAATTTGACCTTTGATAGAAGCTCTATCAATGCTGGAGGTTTTGAGTTACACATCCTATCCTA